ACGCCGCATATGATTCTTTTTTAGCGGTGGCCTCCGCTTGAGTTCGAAGAGGTGGATATCCTCCTCCGAAACCGTCCCCTCAGAATCCCCAGTGACCGCCCCGCTCTTGGAAGGAGCCCGCCCAACCAGATTGCCTGAGTTTTCGGCCGGGACATTTTGCTTGCGATTCCCCCGAGCCACCCCCGTGCCCGACAGCTCATCCTCGGCAGTAGAAGGGCTATGCGAGGGAGCAATCATCCGCAGGGGCATAGCGTCAATGATGATGCTCTGGTTCGGCTTGGGGTTCTGCTCGCTGGGCCCGGGCTGGCTCGGCTGTCCATTTGCCGGCTTCGCCGTCCCAGCAGGGATGGACTGGGCTGGGAGCTTCCCCCCTTTCAAGGTATTTCGGCCCCCCAGTTTTAGACCCGACACTTTCTTTTCATGCTCTGAATCCTTCGCCCCCTCTTCACAAGTTGGCATGGGCACATCCCTCACCAAAAACTCCTCCTCTGACTCCTCCTGGAGAATAATTCTTCTCCTTCTACCTCGCTCCAGCTCCGCCTCCAAATGATGTGTCTCCTGTGGTGGACGAGCCGCATCAGCAGAGCGATCCTTCTTCGCAAATCTGCCTCCCTGCTCTTGCTTTGGACCCCGCCGCACCTTCCGAGCTCTATCAGCCTTCCCATTCTTTCTCCCCAGATCCCTTTGGTTAGGGTTACCACGCTGCTCCATATCCTTTCTTCCCCCTCGGCCAGATCCCCCCACCATAATTCTCGGGGCTTTGGTCATGGGAAATCTGATTGGGGATCGTCCATGACCTCCCTGAGGTTCCATCTCCAAGAATGGTTCGGTAGATGTTCCCATCCAAAGGGGGCTGTGCCTGGTCGGATGCCTTTCCTTGGCCCTCGGGGTATTCTTCTCCGGTCTGTTTCTTCCACCATGGTCCTCCACCTTCGACTGAGAATTGCTCAAAGGCGGCCTGTCCCCCATCTCACGGGTGGCATTGTTGATCCACACCGATCGGGGTGGGTACCGATGAACGTCCTCCTCCCCACCAAAGATCTTCTGTCCCATCTTTTTTGTAATCATATGGGGGCCAAACCGTTCTTTGCCCGAAGGAGGGTCATAGGAGCACTCTTGACGAGCATGACCCACTCTTCCACAGTGGAAGCAGAAGCTTGGCAAGTGCTCATACTTGAAATTGATCCAGAAGCACCCGGTTTCATCATTGGCCGCCAGAATCTGGGAACGCAATGGTTTGGAGAAGTCAATCATGACTCGAACTTTGATGAACTTCCTGCCTGTGTCCGTACAAGAAAATAGGCCCACGTCCAGAACTCTGCCAATAGTTGTCTCTGCTACCTTTCTTCCAAATTGTATGGTGAAGCAATCTTCCTGCACTCCCCACAGCTGCACTTTGAAAGGGGCAGTGGCAAGACCATCAAAAATCTGTTTATTGATGGTAGGTGTCCAGGATCGAAGGTGAATGATCCTATCTTTGATGACCCATGGCGATTGCTTCAAGATCCACCCTTTTGCAGTCTCCGAGGTGAGCACGAACTCATAGAGCCCCTGTTCCACCAATCTGATCCTGATCCGCCCCCTGCCTTGCCATGGGTTATTCACTGCTTCGCGAAGCTCCGCGATGGTGAACTCACTCTCCGAGAAGAGGCGACCCAGAATAGTTCGGGAACGCAGCACCCGCTCCGACTGAATATCCTCCAGGGCAAAAGCTACAATCTGGTCTTTGGAAACGTGCGACATGGTGGTAAGCTGCAAGGGATGATCATCAATCAATTCACCCAAGTTTACAGAAGAGAGGGAGGGAGAAGACAAGTACCATGGGTACCAAGAGAATTGAACGAGGATAAAGTGAAAGGGAACAGGTCCCTGCCGAAGAAGGAACTCAATTCCAAGCCCTTTGAACCCCAACGTACCTGAGAGCTCCTCCGACTTGTCCAAGCTAAGATGATGCTGCTGAGTGGGCTGCTCCGATTTCAGTGAGATGGGATCAATCCCTCGGGCAGGGGCACTTCCTAAATAGGAGATAGCACCGCAGCATCCTGGAGTCAGTAGGAGACCTAGACGTTGTGGGAGACCAAAACTCCTACTTGGGTTCAAAGGGTGAAGATTATTAGATGACTTCCGAGAGAGGGATTTCGTTAAGATCCCCCGTTGGTTACGAAACCTAGTGAATTCCGAAAATCCAGAACCGTTAACAGTATCTTGCAGTCGAGGAGAATCCGGAGATTCCACCAAGATACTCGCTGGAAGAGACGTCTGAGGATCCCCCGATCCTTTTGTTCTCCCCGCCGGCATGCTTCCGGTCACCGGCTCAGGATCAGAGGAGTCACCCTGCCTAGCAGGCCTCACAATCTTACTGGGCGAACTCGCCCCACATCGGGATCTGAGTTCTCTCCGAACTTTTTCTTTATTTTTAACAGTAACACTTTGTGTTAATATAGAATGAACCATCGAGAAACTGACGGCCAGAATGGGAGCCTGCCACGAAAGCGACGGGTGTATCTGATCACTCCGAAGCGTCTCCGACCTCACATTGTCCGCTAAGTTGTACTGTGAACTTGCCCCACTTCGGGATCTAAGTTCCGGCCTGGTCGATGCGCACCCGGACTCCGGTCTGGCCTCTCGGTTCTTCCCACATTCGTCTAAGGGCTGATTGACGTTGCCCGTCGACCCGTCTGCCTCAGTCGATGAAGGCAAGTAGAGCCTCCAAACTGACTGCTTACAGGTTCGTTTTTTCTTTCGATTTGGCAGCGATTCCTCGCCGGGGGAAAACACTCGCTTCCGATGAACACCCCTTCCCCGAATCGGAACTTCCACCCGGTTGCAAATCACCGGGGAATTTGAAGGTGTTTGCACCCACCCTGTTGACGACGCCGCAGCCCTAGCAAAGAATTGCACGCCGTTGGGACGGTTTGCTGAGGAACAACTTCCCCATGCCCCATCCTGATTTTTGATTGCCGCCTGAACCACCGCCAGACCGAGCGATAAGATGCTACGGCCGACGAGACGGTAGAGATCCAAGAGAGAGGCGAGAGCTTCTCTCCACATTTTTACTTTTTCCGAACTGTTCTCCTCTTTGTCTCCACTTTGCTATTGTGTAGTTGTAGATTATTGCAGGACACCAACAACCTTTACATGTTCCTACGAACATGGCACGCTATTACAAACGGTCTGGGATAGAGTCAGTAACCAATGGTTACTGACCTATCAGTAAATGCGCGCACACCGTAGATCTAGGGGGCGGATCAATCATGCGGCTGGGCTGAATGCGGGGTCCAAAAGGGCATTTTTGTCCATTTATAAATTTTTTTTTTTATTATATTCCGATTTTAATGTCTGCTTTTTCAAAAAAGGAGCCACTTTTAATGGCTATCTTTTAAAAGGAGGAGAGAGAATAATTTCTCTGCAACTCTCTTTTTTCTTTCTCCCTTCCTTCTCTCTTCCTTTTTCTCTCTCAATCTCCTTTTCAGATTATTTCTCTTTCTCTGTTCCTTTTTTTTCTCTCCAATCTCTTTCTCCATATCTAGATCTGCTTCCTTCTCTTCTTTTTCGTTATTTTTTTCTCCAGCAATCGACCAAGAAAAATTGCAGCCACCCTCTTTCATTGCATTTTTTTGTCTCTTCATCAACTCGTTGGCCTCAATTTAGGTCTTTCTCCCTTTTTTGGCGTTTGGTGTTCTTGATTGCGGAGGAAATGAGACGAAATAGAAGACGAGTTTTTTTCCCTCTCCATCCTTCTGTTTTTTTTCTTTTAGGTAATATATATTGATATTAGCATGCTATACTATACGGTATTGTGTGGTAACGAAATATATATTGATATTACCGCAGTATACCATATGGTATTGTGTGGTAACGAAATATATATTGATATTACCGCACTATACCATATGGTATTGTGTGATATGCACACACTATACCATATGATATTGTGTGGTAACGAGATATATATTGATATTACCACACTATACCATATGGTATTGGGTGGTAATGAAATATATATTGATATTACCACACTATACCATATGGTAATGTATGGTATTGTGTGGTAACGAAATATATATTTATATTACCACACTATACCATATGGTATTGTATGGTATTGTGTGATATTACCACACTATACCATATGGTATTGTGTGGTAACGAAATATATATTGATATTACCACACTATACCATATGGTATTGGGTGGTATTACCAAATATATATCGATATTACCACACTATACTATATGGTATTGGGTGGTAACGAAACATATATTGATGTGACAAATTTTTCATACCATATGGTATGGTCTTATTTAATACCAGTCAGTCAATACCATATGGTATTGACTGGTAATAACTGACAATTTTTTTTATGTCCAAAAAATATCAAAGTGGATATCATTTTGAAGAGCACAATTAATCTGATCTAACTGTGTAAAAAAAAATTAAATTCTGACTTAAAACGAGTGAGAAATCGTCCGTTAAAGATTAAGGGAAAGAAAATTAAAGGTTTTTCGAGGAGAGAGAAGGAGGCGCTGATGTGGTCTGGTCAAAAGTCAGCGTCAGCAATAAATAAGGATAAGTACAAGTTTACCTTTCTGCCCTTTTGCATTTAATTTAAATAAAAAAGATTGCTGACACGTGGGGACAGGAAAAGGGGTTTCTAATGGGTTACTGACCCATCAGTTACTGACATGATCTGCTCCCATTACAAACGCTTACTAGTCCAAATTTAGAGAAATTGTAAAATGCAAGGTATCATGTATTCGGCCAAGTCTACCAAGACACAATAATAGATAATATTGTATTATTTATTTATTCGGCAAAGTCATTTTTTGTTTCTTTTAGTGAGGTCAAATGATAAATTTTTAAAAAATAAATTGTGGATGAAGAAGCTGGGTATCTTGAGCCATTAATATTGCTATATATAAGGCCACCATACAAACTCTGTAATCCCATCCCAATTTCTCCGAGAATCATCTCGACCAAAAAAACAATTACCCTACTCATGGTTATCTTTGATTTCAAGTCCGACAAGCACTTTGTTGCTTCCTCGGACCGAATCACCCTTCAAGTCTATGAGTTGACAAACCCTAATGTCAATCCTTCCTCCCTTCGAAAGAATCATTGGAAGGAAGTCGCCACCATCACTGCCCGTGATGACTATGACGAGGACGAAGGTGACGACGATGGTGCGTCAGCGGAGGAGGAATCCTTCAGCGGTCTGATGTTCTTCGATGGTCACGGGAAGACCGAGGGGCGGGAGGCGTTGACCAAGCTGGCCCAACACCTCTAATGGAGATATGAATCAGAAGCAGTAGCAGCTGAAGCCTGAATGAAGAACTTGTCCTGAGTCTGCTACTGCTGATGGAAGCTGCACACGAAGAACACAATATCAAACATGCTTCATATTTTCTTAAAGAATACAAATCTCCACATATGAATGGTAATAGTTTATCTAACATATGACAATTAACATATTCTCAAATCCTCCCATACTAATGAAATGAAATACAAACTGCACAAATCGTAAGAAAAAAATCACTAGAGTAATACTACTACAAGCAACACATATGATATTTGATTATCCTTAAACTCAAAACATGTCTTTCAAATCATAGTGAATTTTTTTTTAAATATCTCACCAATTTATAATTGATTTTATCAATTTGGGAATAACATATAAATTAAAACAGATTTAATGAGCCGACCCGCTAACCCACCCGACCTTAAAAAAACACAGGTTAATCAACTTTGGGTTGTAAGAACTTCTACTTTTTTGTCGGGTTCAAATTGGGTCAACAAGTTGGATTGTAATTTTCCATGTCTACTTTGTTGTGCGTTCTTGGGTCGCTGGCTTATGTTAGAACGGGAAAGTTTTTTTTTCCAGAGTAGAACGGGCAAGCATTTAAACGATGAGTTGTTTTTTATGAGAATTTGTATTACTTTAATTAATCCGCCCCCTTCTCCATTTAATACACACTCAATACAATTAGGGTGGGCAATGGGCGGGTTGGGTGGATTTTGGTCTAAAATTGACCCACCCGCTTACTAGCGGGTTGGAATATATGTGACCCGCAATTCACCCACATACTTATGCGGGTTGGGTTGGGTGGGTGGCGGATTGGTGTGGTTGGGTCGTGGGTTAACCCGCAAAAGCAATTCTCCAACTAGCCATTAAGAAAATTGACTAACATTTATAATAAGTTCATATCAAATTAGTAAGATTGTATCAATAATTTGTGATTTTGATACAATTAATAACTTATAGTTTATATTCCAATATTTAATGGATATTAACAATAATTTGCATACCAATACCAATGGATATTGCACAACACAATATCCAATAATAGTAGTCAAAACTATTATTTATTCTCACCTTTTGAAGTATATGGTCAGACTATAGTGCAGTTCGAAAATATGATGAATATTCGATACTATAAGAAAAAATATTTTTCCATGTAAGAACAGGACGCGGGTCATACGGGTGACCCGCCATCCACCCACATAAGTGCGGGTGAGAGATTTAACAATTCGCAATCCACCCACATCAATCACCCATTGAGTGCGGGTCGGGTTATTTGCGGGTGGATCGATATCAATCCGCGGATTAACCACCCACGTTCCCACCCCTAAATGCAGTAAAACGCGATTCTACCTAGAAGCGAAAAATGGATAAAATCGTAAAGCGTAGAATCAAAGCATAAAAGCGTAAGTTTTTTTACGCTTACTATAAAATAGCTAAAATATGTTAAGTACGACATGTACCAAGTAAAATGTGAGTGCAAAGATTTTGGATAAGTTCATAAATATCTGCAACTCATGTCTAAAGTAGAGCAACTCATAGCATCTTATAAATAAGTTCATAATATAGATCTTAACAATAGGCCACTTTCCTCTCTATGCTAATGAATTTGGGAAAACATAGCTGATGAATTAGATTACTCTATTGAAATTACGAATGCAACCAAGTACTTGGTATGTATATTTTAATCTCAAATGTATCATATTGTTGGTGATTTACCTTTAAAATATATTTTTTATAATTAATTTAATGAAAATAATACCGATTTAGTGAACTATAAGCGTAAAAGTGTAAAACGTTTTAGTGAACTAGAAGCGTAAAAGCGTAAGTTTTTAAACTTTAAAGCGCAATTTACTCCAATTTTATACACTTAAGTTTTTATATGGAAACGAAAGCGTTTTGGTGACCTAAAAACATAAAAACGTAAGTTTTTAAGTTTTAAAACGCGATTTTAACTGCATTGCACACACTAGTCCCCTCCTCAAATTTGTTATTATTAATGACCAGGTGCACCTCCGCTCACCTCTCATTTGCAACTTCGAGCCTTTTGTTTGAAGCCTTAAAGATATTCAATCTTTCATTCAATGCCTTGCCTTTGTATAAAAAATACGTAATTTAACGTGGTAGAGGCCCCTGGACTTGACTCGCATCCATGCTTCTCAAATTGAGCTCCAAAGTAGGCTTGACAAACACGTTGCCATACTTAGCCATTTTCAAGCAGTTTCCCAGATTTGGCATAGCCTTTTGGTCAGGTTCAAAAATGGTCTTCTGGACTTTCTATTGAGCACCCAAGTACTTTAATGTGTAGAGGGACACTTCAGCTTCAAAACAAGCCTTTAATATCCAATTTCCATCTAGCCAATTGTAAGATATGAATCTCCAAAGTAGGCACCATGAAACTGTTTTTACACTGAAACAACTGATTAGGTCGACCTGATCCTATATGAGGTCGACCGAAAAGTGCATGTCGCATGTCACCGTAGCAAAGTCCTAAGTTTTAAATATGAATTGTTTAAAAATGATCATGTTTTAAATCTCCGGATTGATGTATCTTTATTTTCATGAATAAGAAATAAATAACTGTGAAAATAAAAGGTGATGGTTCAATTTTAGGCTCACAGCGTCAGACCTGCAATCCCCTGTATTCCCCTGGCTTTTGGAGCGGGAGGATATGTTAGGTAGCAGGCCCCAACCCGCCCCGCAGGGCTTTACCTCCACTCTAGGAAGATAACTCCAGAGCCGTTCAACCATATGTCTCCGCAGGGTGCAGCCTGAAGCAAACTCAACTCCAAAGCCATCGGAGGGGACAGACCATCTGGCCAGAATTTCCGCCGCGAGGAAATCCAAGCTGGCACAGGTCCCCGGGTCTCCGCCCAAACCGGTTACATCCCTTTAATGCCCCCAAACCGCGAGGAATTTCCGCCTTAGAGGAGAAGTTACGCATCTGTTGTACGCTGACGACACCATAGTTTTTTGTGATGCTAATGAAGATCAAGTGCTGAACTTGTTGAGTTCCCTTGTTTGTTTTCAGGTTGTGACGGGATTGAAAATCAATGTTGACAAATGCAAGATGTTCCCTATTGGAAACGTGGAGCATCCTGGCCGGTTTGCAAATCTCTTCGGTTGTTCGTGGAGCTTTCTACCATCAATTTACTTAGGCCTTCTTTTGGGTGTCAGCCCAAACTCTGGAGCTATTTGGGATATCATTGTTAAATTGCAAGCTAGATTGGATGGTTGGCAGGGAAGATTCCTCTCCCTTTGGGGAAGAATCACTCTCGTTCGCAGCACTCTCTCGAGCCAACCTGTTTATGCATGTTCTATACTCAAGGCCCCTGCTGCTGTTCGAAGAATGGAGAATAGTATGAGGAATTTCATATGGTCTGGCTACAATAATGAAAGAAAGTTCCATCTACTCAATTGAGATAAATGTAAGACGGCTAAAGAGTCTGGTGGGTTGGGGATTCTTGATATCAAGGGTCTTAATTCTGCCCTGCTCAGCAAATGGTTATGGAAATATGCTACCGAACCAGCTTGGTGGCGAAGACTCATCGATATTAAGTACCCTAACCACATGACCATATGGAGATCTGGTAAAGGAAGGAGCAATTTGGGTTGTTCCTTGTGGAAGAACATTTTGAAAGAAGAGCCTGGATTCTGGAAACACGCGTTTATTAATGCTGGTGGTGGCGCTTGGGTTTCATTTTGGAAGGATTGCTGGCTGCCTGAGGTGATTCTTGAAGATGCCTATCCAAGGGTCGCTGCTGCTGCCTTTTCCCCGGAGGCTTGGGTTTATGAGTATATCCTTTTCTTCTAAGGGAATCTCTTGGGATGTTCCTTTACGTTTTTCATTGCGGGGTGGGCGGAAAGGGAGAGAGTGAGTTTAATGCAGACTTTATCTTCTTTTTCTACCGATTTGATTTCTGCAGGACCTTGCAAAATCATGTGGCGACCTTCTTCTGATGCTAATTTATTGGTTAAGTCTTTGTACAATTGCATCATCTCAAGCAAGTTCCCGAGCGACAGAGACTTTCCTTCCGATGTTATTTGGAGCACGCAAGTTCCCTCGAAGGTGTCTACTTTTCTTTGGGTGGTTATGCACAAAAGGATTCTAACTCATGATAACTTGAAGAAAAGGAGGTGGAATCTCGCCAGCAAATGCGTGTTATGTGGCAGCGATGAGGAAACCGTGGACCATATTTTCTGCAGATGTAAGTGGAGTAAGCGAATCCCGGAATGTTTGCAATCGGTCATGGGTTTCATGGGAAATTTGGAAAGAAAGGAATGCTAGAACGTTTAGGGATGAAGTGAAGACGTGGACAGCAATCGTTTACAGGATCGGGAATTTTAACAAGTAAATCCACACACCACGAGTAAAGTCATCAACCACGGTGAAGAAATACTGGGCACCACTTAACGAAGGAACTTTGTAACCACCCCCATATATCAATGTGAATAAACTCAAAAGGTTTGGAACTGCAAATCGAACTAGACGGGAAAGCCAATCGAGACTGTTTTGCGCGTAAACAAGATGAACAAATGTTTCTATGAATCCGACGAGTACTAGGAAATAAGTGCAACAAATCTAACTTCTCAGCCGATGGGTGGCCTAAACGGGAATGCCAGAGTTACGCAGAGACACATCCACGTACTGCATGCGCCATTTCTTGCAGGATCCCATCAAAGAGTCAAATAATATAAGCCATCAGCTTGCGTCCCCGTCCCAATAATCATCTTCGAGTACAAGTTCTGTATAACACAGAAGTCCCGGAGAAAGATCAAGGTGAGAGAAAAATCCCGAGTAAGCTGACTAACAGACAAGAGGTTGCACTTAAATTCCGGAACCAACAGTACTCGTGGTAAAACCATCCCGTTAGACAATCGAACTGCACCAATACTATTTACTGCTACCGTCGAACCATCAGGGACCCGAACCTGTAAACCGGGGTCAACCTGTGGCTCAGGTATCATCATCGGATCGTTGATAATGTGTTCGTTACAGCCCGTATCAATTAACCAGTCACCACGGGACATAGAAGGATTGAGAAAATTACATGTCGCCTTGGTAGCTGGGTGCGACGAGGCCTTTAACTCGCCACCAAATAAAGTCTTGAGTTGATCGAATTGGGAAGCACTTAAGCCCGGAATCGGACTATCACGGGCGTCGACCTGAGCTGCCCGAGGAGAAGGGCCCTTTCGATGATCATCCCCTTTCGAGCGACCACCACGATCTCCACGAGTGGCACCCCGCTCCGGATAGCCAACGAGCTCGTAACAGCGGTCCTTGGTATGACCGCCTTTCTTACAGTGATCGCAAAAGAAGCGAGGCTTGTCGCTAGCGCGACCAGGATCATCGAGGCGATCAGAAGAGCCTCGGCTCGAGGACTGCGCATCCTGAGCATGGAACGCCGCCGCTTCAATAGTTGGGCGTCGAGCTTGTGCAATTTTTCGTTGCTGTTCGTCATTGCTCACAAGCAGATACGCTTTAGCAAGAGTTGGCATGGGGCGCATGGCCAGAATTTAAGTCTTAATGGTCGAGAAGGCATCATCGAGACCCATCAAGAAGTCAAAGAGATGCTCACTGTTCTTGGTGGCGCGATACTTGCGCTTCACGTCACAGTGATAGCCCTCGCAGCTACAGTCGGGTGTGGGAGATATGGACTGAATTTCATCCCACAAGCCCCTCAGTTTGGTATAGAAACTTGACACACTAGCCTTCTCCTGCTGCAACATGGCAATCATACCGCGCAACTCGTAGAGGCAGGGGGCGCTACCTTGCCCAAATTGAGCTTCAAGATCAAGCCAGATTTCACGGGCTGTATTCGCAAAACGAACAGTCGACCGAATTTCCTTGGTCATGGCTGTATACGCAAAACGAACCAGCCCTTGACCATAGCATCACAAATCTTCCACTGGATACGAAGAACAGCATCGGTAGGCTGGGGAATAGAGCCATCAACAAAGCCAATTTTATTTTTGGCAATAAAAGAGTCGGTGATATCACCAAGCCACTCACCGTAATTGGAATCGGTAAGTAATTCGCCAACGAACAGTTGATTTGGGCTGTCCGAGTTATGAAGGATGAGCGTCGGGGGAAGATCTTTGCCGCTGCCCGACGCCGAAGACTTCTTCATGGTCTCGGTAGCCGAGGACTGCTCATCCTCGGAAGCCATAGCTTCGAACGAAACGCCGCGAGGATCTACTCACAGCTCTGATACCATGATAAAACTCAACGAAAATAATACGAGAACACAGCGATTTACGTGGTATCCTTGCTCGGTGTGAGCAAGACTAATCCACGGAAAACCCTCTAAAGGGGTTTTCGGCTATAGCTTTATTAGGGTTCATATAATTTCCCTACACAGATACTAATCAGCCGCTATACAACAGCCAAGCCATATATATAAGTGCTAACCCTTTTACATAATGCTACCAGGGTTTACACCAAAATACTAAAAGGTCCTTAAAACAAGTGATGCTGACAAACACGTACGTGCACAACACATGCAGCTCGTACGTACACTGTAACACAGAGCAAGTGGGGGATTGTTTCCAAGCTGGTGAGAAGGCATAAGGTGGCAGCCGTTGGATGTGAGGTGAACGAGATTGAAGCTGTGGATGTTGCTCTGTTGATTGGGGATGATCAGAAGAAGGAATTGGACTCAGTGGAGAGGTGTTTTGAGGAGATTGAGGGCGGTCTGGAGGGTGTTCTTAGGAGATTGATCAAATCAAGAGCTTCTCTGCTCAACATACTGTCTCAGTAAGAACGTTAATTATACCGACAGAAGAAGGAATTAATTCTGGCTTTCCATCCTAGATTTTGAGAGGCATTGGAAGGTATTAGATACATAGATAGATAGAGAAGAAGTGTACATGTCATGATTATGTTAATTCTACCACGAGTACCCTCTTGTGCATTTGTTGAGCGTATTTTTATCTCTTTTTTCTTCTCATCAATTTCACGTGAAATGGACTGATCGATAATCAGATAATCTATAATGAACTAGATAATTGGCCCACGTTTTACGGCGGATCATTATAAAATGTATTTCAATTAGTATCAAAGGGAGATAATGTAGGTTAGATTTTAAAAAAATGAACTTTTGCGTTAAGTATTTGTTAGTTTATGCTACAATAATACAATAATTTTGGAGGAAATATGTGAGTTAATTAGTTAATTTGATTTGCGGGATGAGATGGGATGCTAACTATTGAAAAGTTTAGCAGGGTACTAACCTCTCCCATCTCCGTCCGTTCGCATTTTCATCAATCCAAGGGTCATTTTAATAGAGGGGCATTTTGGGTAGGTTCACACGTGATCTCAGCCTTGGCTAGTGCGATTTTACGGGATAAATCCAATAATAGCCATTTTGGCCTTCCATTTCAACCCATTTCCGTTTTCTTCTTCTCTTTTCCTCTCCGGTCACATCTATCCCTTTCACCGCCCTAATTGAAAAAAGAAAACCCACTAACGGGCCATTCACTATCAATGCAGAAACCTTTTACTGTACCTATAGACTCATATGTACTGTTATAACTCGAATGGAAACCGGATCTGTGCGGGTGTATGGTGGTCTCTGGTCAGTTTGTGAAGCTGTAGTTCTCTTTGGACCATGATGAGACCTCCGATTGGCTGGTCAGTTAGTGGTCTGGTTGCATTTGTGTGGTACTGGTGAGTCCGCGTTGATCAGCACGTTACCTTTTGTTGTTCTCGATGCTGCTTCAGAGGGAAAGTGGGAAACAGAGGAAAGCAGAAGCCAGGTGGGTCTTTAGTTTTTGACCACTCATTTTACCTAACCGGCTCAATTATCTATGCCTCCTTTTTTCATTGTTTCCGTCGCCAGAGATGCACTCTCTCGATAGAAGTAGAGATGGTGCGGATTTCTATCGCCCATTTGCCTTTAGTTTCTCTTTCCTATACATCTCTCTTCCCATCCTATCTGACATGCTCTCCTTCTTCCCCTATGGAAAAAGAAAGAAGATTTCCTCTTGATACCTCTCTTCCCCTATGGCAGTCAGACGTTTTCATGATGTTTCAGCCAAGAAACAAGGGAGGCGCCGATCCTGTGAAAGTGCGGGGTTGGCCCCGATTATCTACACTCCGACGATCAACATTAGTGAACTTGTAAGGGAATAGGAAGAGCAAAGATAGAGAGGGATTGTATAGAGAGATAAGAGATATATCCCAAATGAGAAGGAGAGGAGAGACCCTTTACTTGGAGTGCTTGGTAGTGTATTTATAGGCCAAGCTTGCCTTCTTCATGTGGGCTTTAGTTGTAGGATCATGAAGATACTTTGTGGGTTTGGGCCCATACATACTTGATGGATTGTAGTTGTGGTTTGGGCTGGGCTAAGCCATGTTTAATGGCCCAACAATTGTCCCCCCAGTTAGGTATCCAGTAGCGTACTGGATGCCTAACTAGAAGTCTTTGCCTTGCAAGCTTTACTACGAACTTAGAGTTGCACGCTTGATTGTTTAAGCGCCATCTTGTCTCCTGGCTTAGCTGACTCATGTCCCCCAACATCATGTTTGCCGAACAATCTCGAAATAAGAACTTTGCAGAGAATTGACAATAAAACATGATATGACTCATAGAAGAATTAACTCAAATTGTGGCAAGTAACGTATTGTACCCATGACATCTACAAAATCACGACATTTTAGGCTCCCAGTTGAGGACTTATTTACCTTACACCTAAACTTACTTCTCTTTCGACGTCTAACAAGGTTATGGCGCCCTATGCACCTAACTGGAGATTCATTTTCTCCAGACAAGATTTTGAAGTTGCATGTTGTCCCTCCAATTATCCCCAAGATTATAATAGCTTAGGAATTCCGAGAGAAACTATGTAGAGAATTATCAATGTAACATGATGTGACTCATAACATAGTTAACGATATAACTCAAGCAATGAGATAGAACTATTTACTGCACATATGATGCCTAACAAGGCTATGACATTTCTCGGCGCATAATTAAAGATTTGTTTGCCTTAGAAAAAATCCCGAATGCGCATGAACATGTTACTCCCAGCTGTCCCCCAGTTAGGCGCCCAGTGGTACACTGGACGACTAACTAGAGTCTTCAAACTAGTCAAATTTCATATAAGATCCTTTAGTGTTTTGTCCCCCAGTTCATGTCTCCCATTACCGTATTAGTTACACAAAGAAAGGATCACAAATATTCTAAATGATGCAACATAATTTCATTCATACGATAACTAAGAATATAACTTGAGTAGAGATAGAAAAGACTTAGCTTATTTCTTGAGACTTCTCTTTAGTGGTTAGAATTAGGGCGCTTGATTAGTAAGTCTTTGGCGCTCGGATAAGCCAATCATGGTGGAACTTAATTCCACTGTCGAGTTGGTCTGACAACACTAGCACTCCTTTCATAAAACCATATCACAAAGCCTTATCTTCTGAAGTATTCCCTTGTAGCCTTGCCGCTGTTTTTACTTTCCCGCCCCAAATACTTGGGCGCCTTCAGTGGGCATGATATTTTTCCCAACATGATGCCATGTTTCCATTTGTACCTTTCATTATTTAGAGGCCTTACGAGTATCACAGACGTCAAATTTAGTCACATAGAGTACTTTCAATCAATGGCATAAAATTTGGACGGAGATTAAATCCAACAAAAGGCGCTAGATTTGGGCGCGGAATGTATTACCAATCAGGGGCGCTAAATGTGGGCGCGGAGAGTATTACCAACCAAGGCGCTAGATTCGGGCGCGGCGAGTATTACCAACCAAGGGCGCTAATTTTGGACGCGTATTGTATTTCCAACGAGAGGCACTAAATTTGAGTGCGACGAGTACTTCGCAAAAACCAAAATATCTGGTGCAAGTAAAATTAAATTTCACAAAGAACAGAAATCGAGTACTTAGCTTTGAAGTGTTCTCTGAAGCCCATGCAAGCAATTCTTATAAAAGATAGGCGCTCACTTTAAATTCACAGGTGCAAACATGTCGTCAAGTTGTTGAAGCATATGTGTTCCTCTCAATAGCAGGCTCCCACAACAATGTGTCAAGGCGCACAGATGACTTTACAAACGCGAACAATTTCCTTACATCTTGGTCTTGTGTCTTGATGGCCACCGTACTCGAATTTAAATGATGAGGTCGTGTGTTCGACGCCCATATTGTGTGTCTTTTTTTTTTTGTTTAATAAGATAAGCGCCTGGGCCTTCAAACATTTGGGCCTTCGGTTGAAAATAGATAAGACACCCCTTTTCATACGTGGGCCTTCAAATGACGAAGGCAGAGAGGAGACGCCTTCAATTGTGCAAGCTGGCACCTTTGTAATAAGGCGCCTAAAGAATACCCTGACTAGTTAAAGGCGCATGAACTTCCAAAATTCAGCTGTAGCATAGTGGTCTCAGACGCCTCAATTCAGGCGTTGGAGCGCGTGCCTGGGTTCGATTCTCGTGTGAGTCCACTTCTTTTTCCGGCTTTTGACTGTGCGTTCCATTGCATCCTGGGCTTTCATGACCTGGGTTTGCCCATTAAGCCTGTGAATGGACATGGGCCAGGCGCCTCCTTTTCCACCAACATAAACTTATCGTCTCTCCATTCTTTCCCATCCCACGAATATGCTTCTTTTTTTTTTTTTTTTTTAGTCCGCCTCCTTGAAGAGATCGAGTCTCCGAGCGGCGAGCTCTTCGATCTGGAAGAACTTGCCTTCGTTTCCTCCGCATATTTCCCTTTGACAGGGACGCCCAATTTCTGTATTAAGCATCTCATTTTTCCTTCAGCCTTTTCGACCCCTTCGAGGTGGTGGTGATGACAAATCAAGGCACCATCATCTCTTTCTCCCAGTTCTTACAAGGCGCCATCATCTCTTTCTGTCGCGTCTTCTTTCGCTCAAACAAAACAGAGGCTAGCTCGGCCGGGATCGCTCTTGAGATAGTGAGTTTCAGGCGCTCCTCGACATGGAAATTCCCAAAACTAGCTTGATCCCACACTGTAATGGATAAGAAGCCCAAAAGAGGCGAGCTCTTCTAGGGGCCTCACAGATGGACGCCTCTAAAATTTTGCTTCCCTCTTTCTTGCTCTTCCAAATTGAGAAGCGCCCAATTGAGTGGGTCATGACGATAAGTGGCCGGAGGTGGGTGCGGTGCCGGAGCTACGACGAGAAAGAGATGTACCACTAAAAGCAGCTAGCGTCTTCCAGGGTTGTATTTCGAAAGAGTGACGGAGAAAAAGGAGGCGCTCGGGCACATCCTGCTTTTTCAGTTGCCTCAACGTTTTGTGCTTGTTGTGGGCCCATGGCTCTTATAATAATTGAAAGCACTAGGCCCAATTCTTCTCGTGGGCCTGTAGAGGCGTGTAGAGGCGTGTGCTGCAAGCCCAGTTTCAGTTGGGTGCAATTAAAAGTGATTTGAGGAAGAGTTGATGCGCCTCCAAAAGGAAAAAGCAAGACCCGTTGTAGTTGAGCTACAACTATTTAACACAAATTAAGCGCTCGACTATAGAATAAAACTCAAGTTCGGCAATAGAAATAAAGTAGCTTTCCTAGCAAACATGTCCAACTTATGGCATAGGTGGGCGCCCGTAACAAAGGAAGCTTCCAGTTTGTAAGCGTAGAGATGAGTTTAGCTTCTACAAGACTCGATTCGGGCGCCTCACTACTACAAGTTAAACACCCCATGCAACAGGCCACCTTAAGAGAACATGTATTTGGGCGCCACCTCCACTATTTTATTTTGTGGAGGCGCATCTCGTTCACAATCAGGTGTTCGCCCCCTCCTCCTGATATATTTTTTCTTTTTGTGAGAAAACTTCCCCTTCAATTGTTGAAGGCGCGGCTGTGTAAGACCCATACCTGGCGCGCCAATTGTTTCAGCCAAGAAACAAGGGAAGCGCCGATCCTGTGAAAGTGCGGGGTTGGCCCCGATTATCTACACTCCGACGATCAACATTAGTGAACTTGTAAGGGAATAGGAAGAGCAAAGATAGAGAGAGATTGTATAGAGAGATAAGAGATATATCCCAAATGAGAAGGAGAGGAGAGACCCTTTACTTGGAGTGCTTGGTAGTGTATTTATAGGCCAAGCTTGCCTTCTTCATGTGGGCTTTAGTTGTAGGATCATGAAGATACTTTGTGGGTTTGGGCCCATACATACTTGATGGATTGTAGTTGTGGTTTGGGCTGGGCTAAGCCATGTTTAATGGCCCAACACATGACTTCCAGAAGCCTTATGAGTCGACGATGTTGGAGCTGACGGAGACTTGTGTGGCCTGGTTGAGGATGTGGAAGTATAGGACAACGTCGAGCAACACAACGTCTTTTAGATCTCTTCAATGATGAAAGCATGGTGTTTGGAAAGCACCTTTTGGTGATTCCCAAAGTTACATATCCTAATCTCCGTGTTCCAACAACACCCACTGCGTCAGCAAAATCAGCAAACCTGAGCTGGCGATTCCCAAAGTTACATATCCTAATCTCCGTGTTCCAACAACACCCACTGCATCAGCAAAACAGCAAACCTGAGTTGTGAAGGTGAAATAATTCAATAACTGGTTTTATACGTGTTGTGTGTTACTATTTGATTGTCGATTCTGCCATTTTTTGTAGGCTTAAGTTGCAGTCGGAACAACAACGATGATGGTGGGGGTAGTTATCATAAATGGTCACAAACTTATTCACTTTGTACAAAATGGTCATAAACCTTTAATTTTGTACGTTTTGGTAAAAAAAGTTTGAGTGAATAACAAAAAGGTCAATCCGTCCACTTCCGTCCAAAATTCCGTTAATTTTGCTGAGTCAACATGACACATCATTAAAAATCATAATAAATAATAATATAATCATTCGAATTAATCCAAACAACCTTAACCGATTCTCTAACTCTGTAACCACTAACCACCCGCCCGTACACCCGAACCTTATCCTCAAACGTCCGAACCCAACTCTCCAATGTCAAGCACCTAAACGTGCAACGGTGGTTCTCCGTCATCGGCGGATGACTTTACAAGTCCATCGATTGGATCTTCGCCGACAGAGGGTGTTTCTTCGTGTCCAGTGGATGGTTCTCCATCAGTTGATCCTTACCCAGCTTTTTGTTGGTATCGCCGCCTCTAATAGCTTCAAGAATAGGCGAACGACGCTGCTCCTCCATCCCTCTGCCCGGTATTGTCGCCTCCGGTAGCTTCAAGAACAGGCGCTTCGGATCTTGGTGCTCATTACTCTGATTCACAATTGGCCGTTGTACTTCTCTATCCAACGTATCCGCCGCCGGCATAGATCCTTCTACGCTGATCGATCCCCGGCGCGCACAAACGGAGACCGAATCTTGTGGCTTCTCGAATTCTTCCTGTTGCTCATTATTGCAGTTTCCAATTGGCTGGTCCACTACTCCTGAATTCACAGAGAAAAGACGGAAACCAAATCCCAGAACACTAAACAAAGGGAAGGGCAATTGAATCGTCTTCTTGAGTGCTGAAATAAACAAAACAATGGAGTTTGTGGAGAGATTGGTCGAAGAAGATGGCTATGGAGACAAATAGTGAACCGGTTAGGGTTGTTCGGTTAATTCAAACAATTAAATTATTTTTTATTAATATTTTTAATAAATTTCATGTTGACTGGACATAAGTAACAGAATTTTGGACGGAAGTGGACGGATTCATATTCACTCAAACTTTTTTTACCAAAATGTGCAAAATTAAAGGTTTGTGACCATTTTGTACAAAGTGAATAGGTTTGTGACCATTTATGATAACTACCCATGATGGTGGCAAAGTGAATCAGCAGGGAGGAAGGGGTGGGGAAATCCCAGATCTATGCGGCTTTGCCGACGGTCTATTCCTCTTTTCAATTTATTCTTACCATAT